TGGTCCCCCCCGGCCCGCAGGGGGGCGTGGGGGGGGAGCCCGGCGGCACGGCCACCCCACACCAGTGGCATCTTGCGGACTGGAAGGCCAGCAATCCCTACCGGTCCCTCTCCAGCTCGAGCACGGCCACAGGGACCACGGCCATCGAGTGCGCCAAGGCACGGGGCAGCTCCGAGTCCCTCACGTCCCCCTCCGTCTCTAGAGCCACGACACCCTCCCAGCTCTCCGCCGAGGCAGACCTCAAGACCTCCTCCCCAGGCAGGCCCACAGGGCTGATGTCCCCATCCAGCGGGTACTCCAGCCAGTCGGAGACCCCGACTCCCACCGTTCCCACCTCCGCCATCCTCGGGCACTCCCCACACCAGGTGCGGGTGAGGCCACTGGTCCCCGAGAGGAAGTCCTCGCTGCCCCCCACATCCCCCATGGAGAGGAGCCCCAAGTCCAGGCTGTCCTTCGACCTGCCATTCACGCCGCCTGCCCACCTTGACCTGTCGGGGCTGAAGATCTCCCTGAAGGGGAAGACAAAGGTCAGCCGGCACCACTCCGACTCCACCTTTGGCACCAAGCTGGCCCAGAAGACCAGCCCCATCACACCCATCATGCCGGTGGTCACGCAGTCCGACCTGCGCTCTGTCCGCCTCCGCTCCGTCAGCCGCTCGGAGCCGGAGGACAACGCCGACGGCCTGGCGCACGCCGCGGAGACAAAAAAAATGCCCAAGCCCTCTGCGGGAGGAGGGTCCCGTCCCCAAAAAAACCGCCGCTGGCCAAGCGGCCCCCGAGCATCCTGCCCAAGCCCCCAGCTCTGCGGGAGGAGGGTCCCCTGTCCCCCACGTCCCCACCAGGCGCCGCCAGCAAGGAGAGGGGGCTGCTGCAGGACGGCTTTGTGGTGCTGCGGAAAGGGGAGCTGAGGAGGGGTCCGGGGGAGCCCCTCTTGCCCCTGACCCCGGCGGGACCCCGGCGGCTCTCGCAGGGGAGCCTGGAAGATGAGCCGCGGCCGGAGCGGAGCAGTGCCAGTGAGGGGGAGCGGAAGAAGGCCAAGGTGCCACCGCCGGTGCCCAAAAAACCCAGCGTGCTCTACCTGCCACTTGCCCCGGCCCCGGCGCAGCTGGGAGCTGGCGTGGTGGACCAGGCACCCACCCCGAGTCCCATCATCACGCTGGATGCTGACCCCACCTGCTGCAACCCCAACGCCGAGGACCCACCGTCCCCAGAGACCCTGGGCACAGCACAAGCCGGCGACCCCGCCTGGGAGCAAAGTGAGGGTCTCCCTGCTCCTATGGTGGGCTTCACCCCAGGGACAGGGGGGTCCTCCTGTGCCTGCACAGGGCGGTTCACGGCTGCCTTCTCCCCCCCGTCCACAGGCAGCTCAGCAGAGGCCGGCACAGAGGAGAAGAGCTTTGCCAGTGACAAGACGGCCGACTCCATCGCGGAGGAGGACGACGACGTGTTTGTGACGTCCCGCACCACGGAGGATCTCTTCACCGTGATCCACAGGTAGGACTGGTGCATGGCACTGGGTGGGCACAGCCCCCCACACCTCCTGCATCCTGCCACGGTCACAGGGCCGGGCGCAGTGTCCCCCCCGCCACGACACCTTAAATTTTCCACACCAGGGCCAATGCTCACGCTTGGGGACAACCTGGCTGTTGCTGCCTCAAGTGCTTCGGGGTTTAGCACCCTGAGTCTGCGGCCAGGCTGGGTCACCAGCTTGCGGGGGGGGGGGGGGGGTGTCCACTCGTCAGCCTTGGGGCAAGTTGGACTTAGCTGCCAGGAGAGCGTTTGCCGGTAGCTAGGTCCATTACCTGCCATGCACGGGTTGTCTTCTTGCCCCGGCGGAGCAGGCACAGCCACAGCCAGGCAGGCATCGTGCCCCTTGCTGTAGGGCCTCGTCCCATCCAGAGCAGTGGCAGCTCCCACCCGGGGCTGCCCCCACCACCCTCCCACCGCCTGTCTCTTTGGTGCCTAGGTCGAAGAGGAAGGTCTTGGGGCGGAAAGAGCCTGGTGACACCTTTGGCAGCCGGCCCAACTCCCACTCGCCCGTAAAGACTTCAGGCTCCCCGACCGGCGAGTCCCTGGCAGCAGCAGGCAGCACCGGGAAGTCTTCCAGCAGGAACGAAGACTTTAAAGCCCTGCTCCAGAAGAAGAGCAGCAAAACCAGCCCCGGTACCCGGCCATCTGCTGCCGAACTGCTCAAGACCACAAACCCCCTGGCTCGGAGGGTCATGACAGAGTTTGCCCCCGAGCTAGATGGTGCAAACAGCCCCAAAAGCCAGCCCTAACCTTGCATGGTCCCTTCTGGCCATGAAGGGCTAGAGATGGCTGCAGAGGGAGTATTGCTGCGGAAGGGGTGTCCTGGCTGCCTGGGTGAGTCCATGTGTCCTGCCGGGGGTTTTCTTCTGCTTTTGTTTCTTCCTTGGAGAACCGCCGGCAGAGAAGCAGCGTTTGGAGCCCAAGCCCCCCGTGTCTCTGGCGGAGCTGGGCCATTTCCAGGAGGGAAGAGGTGGCACCAGGGCTGGGACCGTCCCCCGGCTGAGCCGGCTCCCAGGACCAAAGGCACCTGCTCAGGAAGCAGAGCGGGACTGCAGCCCCTGGCGTTGCTCAGCGCCTGCAGCGAAGCTAGCTTGAAACTGTTTGGTCACTTCGGCATGTGGTACTTTAAATGGCTTTTCTAATGCACAGTGGTGATGATGTTTTATTCTCTTTCATTTGACATTGTACCTTGAGTTTCCCAGGCAAAGATCCCGGGTTTGAGTTCGGCTGGATACACAGAGATGTACTTTGGGAAGACGTAAGGGGGCCGGCTGGAACTGAGGTTGCTTTGGAAGAGCCACAAGCGGTTCCCCCTCGTCGTCTTGAGCACCCTCCCCGCCACACGGGGAACAGGCACCCCGGCGTCCGCAGCCAGCGTGACGACCTCAAGCCAAAACGCAGCCCCTCGAAAGCCCCCAAAATGCTGCATTTCAGAGCTCCTCAGCTCTCACTCCAAAAGCAAACCCCAGGGTCGCCTCCGCTGCCAGCCCCGGGGAGCCTCGCCCCGCCGGCCGCACCACACGCGACC